ATCCACGCTGTAGGGTTAATACAGTTTGGCACTACCTTAACTGCATGTCTCAATGTGGTGAAATCTTGAATGGTCTTGAAGGCTTTCCATTTTGAATCTCAGTTCTCCTTAGTAGTGCTGATAGTCAGAGTAAACAGGAAAAGAAAATACAAGGAACGGAATCAGACAATCTCTCATTCTTGCATCTAGGGGTAACAAGTCCAATAGCTTAATAGGAGGGGATCTCAGGAAGTGGCCCAAAGTTGCTTAATTTTCCTTCAGACAACTTTGACTTATGGTGGTGAATGAAAGAATGAGAATCTGCATAGTACGATGATTTGGGTGCTGGAGTATGAATCTCAAAATCAGGGTTTAAATCCTTGCTCAGCCATGGAAACCCACTGGGCGACCATGGCCATGTCACACACTCTCAGCCTCAGAGGAAGGCAAAGGTAAGCAACCCCTGAACAACTCTTTCCAAGTAAACTCTATACAGTAGGCTCCCTCCTGGTGTCTGCTGGGGTTTTGTTCCAGGACTCTCAAGAATGCCGAAATCTCATTCTTTTGCTGCCGCCTCCCAAGTTCCAGCATCATTTCCAAGAAATCACATTGTTTAATGATACATGCACAGTATGAAATGCCTCAGTTAATGGGAAATCAATGAATATCTGGCATTGTAGACGACTGTTTCATTAACTGTGGATCCTGGCCCCAAACGGGGTCCCTATAGTTCAAAAAATTGGCAACAGTAAAAGGCCACCCATTTTACATAAATCTGTTAGTACCAACCTGCAGTGTTCACAATAGAAGAAAATGCTTCAGCTGTGCTCTATAAAAAAGAAACTTAGCCTGTTTAACAAGCTTTGCAAATGTTGATTTTATTATCAGTAAATGTTTAATTTTATATCTTTTTTATACACCCTTATATCCAGTCATAAACACGTATTGGATGGGAAAGGGTCCTGAATGGAAAAAGTTTTAAGAAGCCCTGCTGTAGACTATATTTGAGAAGAAAAAACTGGCAAAACCAGCTCTGAGTATTCCCTAAGAAAACCCTATTAAATTCTTGGGGTTGCCACTTCATTTCTTTCTCAGAAAAAAAACCCCAACAACATATACTTTCCTTTGACAGCTCATTCTTCTATAATTCTTCATTAGATGAGTCTTGGAAGTTGGACATTATGCTGAGTTCTGTTGCACGCATGCTCAAGAATATATCCACACAACCCACACGTATAGAGAGATGGTCAACACAGCTGCCTGCATTTTTGGACTCTCTGTGTGAGAGTGGTTGTTGGGCATGGCATAATGAATGCTCACAATTCAAAATGTACCCCTGCTTCACTGAGTTATGTACACCCTGTAAAGGGTGTTTTGTAAAGCACCCTTTACAAAACAGAGGGTGCTTTCAGGCAGGCAGCTCTTGGTGCTGCTAATAATTTAATTCCATTTTTCTGCTCCTAAACAGAGACAAGAAGAGGCTCACTAGGCAAATAATTCATTAGTATTTCACAGAGGCTGGGAAAGTTATCTTTTTGGATTACTACTCCAAAAGTTACTATCCTGGCTGGAAGGATGATTGGAATTGTAATCTTCAAAACTCAGTTTTCCAGGCTTTCTCATTTAGCTGATTTCATGGGAAGAATGGTGGACGTTACCTTCAGCCGTGTTAATTTTTAAAAACTATTTCAATTTCAACGCGGAACAGCTTAGACAATGCAAATGGATAAGGAGTCAAACTGGTATCATTAATTATTATAGTTTTAATCAGTTTTTATATGGATTTTTATTATGTGATATTAAATGTTTTTAATTGATATGTATGCATGTATGTTTATGGCATCTAATTGTTGCCAATCTGTATACTGCCCTGAGTCACCTTAGGGCTGAAAAGAGCAGGATAAAATAAATAAATAAATAATTGTTCCAAATGCCTATGCTATTTGCCTCATCTGGCTGCTAGTGTAGGTATTTTTTAATTGTTTCATTTATTTTACATTGATTATTTTAATTTCTGCCACTTTTTAGGGTTGTCCCTATAGGACTAAAACCACAGTTCAAACCAGTGTGAGAGTCTGCAGAATTATGTTAATATGAAGCTTCATTGGGAGCCTCTGGTGGCGTAGTGGGTGAGCTGCTGAACTTTCTGTGGTTTGAATCAGGGTTGCGGGGTGAGTTCTTGCAGTTAGCCCTAGCTTCTGTCAACCTAGCAGTTCAAAAACATGCAAATGTGAGTAGATCAATAGGTACCGCTTTGGTGGGTGTACAGAAGTTAATTATAAATTGTATGATTTTAACTGTATTTGTGTTTAGATTGGCTGCACTAATGCTGGAGCGGCCTAACTGAGAGGAGTGCGTTGCCATGGAGACGATGTAGGCTAGAGAGAGAAGTGGGAGGAGCTTAGAGGGGAGAGTTTGAAAAATGACAGTTAATGTTCAGTGAGGTTTTAGGTTTAGAGGAGTGAACAGTCATGAGTTAGGGTTTAGGTTTAGAGGAGTGAACAGTCATGAGTTAGGTTTTAGGTTTAGAGGAGTGAGCAGTCAGGAGTTAAGATTTGAGGGTGAGGAATTGATAGAGGAAAGATTAGGAGGTTATAGCTGTAAGAGAGTGAATTGTGAAGCAAAGTTTTGAGGCTTTGGAAAGCCAGATTAAGTTACTGGAAGTTTCTTAGGCTAGAGAGGCTGATAAGGGAAACATAACCAGTATTCCGTTAGTCTAAAGAAAGGCTAAAGAATAAGCTTATTAAGTATCTGATCAGGGGAGGATCAGATAAGGGAGACATCCCTGTATTGGAACTTTGTTTTGTAATAAGTGCTTCACCTCAGGAAGATACTGTATAACCTGAAAGAGTGTAACATTCAACTAACCAAGCATTATTCTGAGTTCTATAAGAAAAGTTACAACTTGCAACCACACGCTTTGTGCTCAATAAACTTGTTAACTTTTGTTTGAAGACTGCCTCATCTCCATCAATTTTGCGTCCAGTGTGCCATTTCTCACAATATTATAACTTACCTCACGTGGTGGCAGAAATGCAGGGGAAAGTGACCAAATAGATCTATATTCTTATCTCCAGTCACGCTACAATACATACAGTATAATTACTACTAAGTTATTACTATCTTAATAAAGGAGGAGGTGCGATTAAACAGCCTCCCTTCTAACTTGATGGTAAATTTGGTTCCTTTCAAATTGATAACAACAATAATCATCCCTAGGCTCCCCTGCTCCTGCGCAGTGGGAAGATAACAGCACTTCATGCAGTCATGCTGGCCACATGACCTTGGAGGTGTCTATGGACAACACTGGCTCTTCGGCTTAGAAATGGAGATGAGCACCACCCCCCAGAGTCAGACACGACTAGACTTAATGTCAGGGAAAAACCTTCACCTGAAGCTTCATTATACTTGTTTGGCCTGAACTGAAACTGGTTGCTCTCTAATATCGGTATTAATATCAGAGTGAGAAGGGTGGCATATAAATGTCGTAAATAAATGAATAAATAAATAATTCACAAAGCTGTGGTCTTAATGAACACATTAATTAGCACTAGCATATTAATTAGTCAAACTATATATATTTAGTCAGCAACGTGAGGACGTTTGTGTTCTAAATCACCAATTCCTGATTTTCTTAGCATTACCTCTCACATATATTTAGACTTTTAATAATACTATCTTAGGATTGAATTTCTTGCATTTTGTGACTCTTTCACTCCATTGTTTATAACTATGTGTATCTTCTCAACAGCCAGGAAATCCTGTTGTCTCCTTGTAGATACTGTATTTCTTCAGTCCTAAAACTCACTTTGTTCCTCATATAAGTATCTCTAAAAATGGTTTAAAAAAAAGAATTGCAGGTGCTTTTTGCTGTTGGTGGTAAATTTTACAATTTATGGGATTTTCAAATTGAAGAAGTATGGTATTGTAAAACTGCTCATTCCAGCAGGCTTCAAAATTTGGGGCAGATTATGGAAAATGCAGTTCAATTACACCAGGACTATCTCTGCTCTATAGCCATTTGTGTCTCCACTTGCCAACTGCATTTATTTATTAATAAATTTGTTAATCATTACATTAATACAAGTCTCTATCTGTGACAGCAATTACTGCTACTAGTTACTAGTTTTAACCCCTTTGACTCTTTTATGAAGGCTTCACTTACATAAAAGATTTTAAAAAAATATTTGTATCTTGCCCTGTCTCTAAAGATCTCAGGTTGGTATATGATAAAACTATTTTATCCAATTTAAAACAATTTCAGGAAGACTAAAAATATATTTTAAGACATTGAGCAAGTAAAAAGGAAATAGTTTAAAAAGAGAAAACATAGATTAAGACAAGTAAAATTCATATTAATTGATTTAATAAATTCCACTTCCACCTTTAAAAAGCCATGTTAATGGCTAAGACGTCATAATTTGTTTCAGGTGGAAACATAGGTAGGTGTAATGGGCATAAGAGAATGAATAAATTGCTAGCATGTATATTGCTAAAATTCAACTGATCATTGGAGGGACTGGAGCTGAGCAGGAGAGTCAGATTTTGGTCCCTGTCATTTTCCTCTTCTTCTCAAACGTTTTTATTGTGCTTTGTTACCCTTGTGGTGGCTCAGTGGATTCCTGCCCTAAAGGTTGGTTGCTGGTTCTAATCTACAAGATGGGATGAGCTCCCATTTGTCAGCTCTAGCTTGCAGGGACATGAGAGAAGCTTCCCACCTGGATGGTAACACATCCAGATGTCCCCTGGGCAACATCTCTGTAGACAGCCAATTCTCTCACACCAGAAACAACTTGCAGTATGTTCTCAAGTTGCTTCTGATACTATAACGAACACCCATTGTTTGAGAAGGGAGCACCATGAGGACTCTCATCTCTGTGTGTAAGATGGCTTACTTTAGGGACTCTTCTATCAAAGTCTGCTCACTTCCTTTTGGGTACCTACTCTTTTATCTAAGATAGAATCATCGAGTTGGAAGAGACCCCAGGGATCATTGAGTCCAACCCCATTTTGTCTTGCAGGACACAGAATCAAAGCACCCCCAATAGATGGTCATCCAGCCTTTGTTTAAAAACCTCCAGAGAAGAAGATTCCACCATGCTCTGCGGAAACATATCCACTACCGAACAGCTCTCGCCATCTGGAAGTTCTTTCTAAAGTTTAGGTGGAATCTCTTTTCCTGCAATTTGAATCCATTTCTCCATGTTCTAGTCTCCAGAGCAGCAGAAAACAACTTTGTCCTCTCCTCAAGATGACATCCTTTCAAATATGTAAACATGGCCTTCGTGTCCCCTCTGTTTTCTGTTCTCCAACCTAAACGTACCAGCTCCCTAAGCCATTCATTCCTCATAGGGCTTGGTTTCCAGACCTTTGATAATTGTCGTTACCCTTCTCTGGACACTTTGCAGATGTACTACTTGCAACAATAAAAGTAAGTTTTTATCTTTTAAAACCTTACCAGAGCATCCTGCGTATTTTCTCTAATTTCTTATAAGTGTATGTGCATATATATGTGTGTGTATGTATGTATGTGTAGATGTGTGGGTGTGTCTATCTATCTATCTCAGTAGTATGCTGCACTCCATGCTTCTACCGATACCCAGTATTTCTCAATTGAGGTCCCTCATTGCAAGAGGGTAGGCTTGCGGTAATGGAAGGCTTAGCTGCACCCCTCTAGGGAACATTTTCCATTCATATTCCATGCCTATATGAATAGATTCCTTTCCTGTATGTTTAGCCAAGGCTGGGCCGCAACAGCTTTTTTGAGCTTCAGGAGAAAAAGAAATGGTGCCTCACCACCCACTCTAGTCAAAGGGCAGAGTACCCCAAGTTATCCAAAATTAATTTTGGTGCAGGAGGCAATGAAATAAACGAAAATCCGAAAACCACCTCTCTCTGCTCTCTTGGTGTCAAAACAAAGGATCACCATATCAAATAGCTAATAATTTGCTGTTTTTCATGCGCTGGCTGCCTGACTTCTTCATGGTAGGGCCTTTCCCCTCTTTAACTGGCTGGATCCTTTGGAATGGGTTCAGCTAAGCTATGTAAAAATAGAGTTTTAAGTGGCAGCTACTTGAGGAGAACACAAGTGAAGAAATGTTTCTTGCTCAATCAAGCTGCCCTATTGGTGTTTCACCCTTTCTCCTTAAATGAAATAAAATACCAGACTCAGACAATGAGGGTTTGAAGTTCCCACTTCAGAACAAAGTGCAGTTGGCTCTGGAAAACCTGTTGCGGTCCAATCAGCAATAGTTAATGCCCTAATATGCATGCCCATCCCCCTCCAAACACCTACCCTTTCACCTGGTCATGCCCAGCACTTTTCAATTTTAATTATTACATTTGGCCCTGCCATAGTTTTTAATTGCGTCATGGTGTGTTGTTAATGTTATTGCCTTGTTTTTGAGTTATTTTGCTGTATTGTTGTTTTTACTGTTGTATTTGGGCTCGACCTCTTGTAAGCCACACCGAGTCCTCCGGGAGATGGTAGCGGGGTACAAATAAAGGTTTATTATTATTATATTATTATAATAACCCATCAATTCCAATGGGAGAAATTTGAACATGAGCTCAGCTCCTTAACTGAAATGATCGGGACGGTTTTTAACCATGCTAGGTCCATAGTGTGCAAATGTGTGAGGTGTTTTGAAAGCCTTTGCACCTGAAGAGTGGAGGAAAGGATGCTACGCACACATTTCCATATCAGTACTCCAATGATGATAGTGTGAATTAGTAAGATAGTTTAAAAAGCCTGGAGCCCCAGGTTCAGTGGTGGCCAGGGGAGCTTTTGCACAATTAAAGCTTGTGCGCCAGTTGCGCCCGTACCTTGAGAAGTCAGACTTGTCCACAGTAGTCCACGCTCTGGTTACATCACAAATAGACTACTGCAATGCACTCTATATGGGGTTGCCCTTGAAGACTGTTCGGAAGTTTCAGTTGGTCCAATGGGCAGCAGCCAGGTTGCTCACTAGAGTAGCGTACAGAGAGAGGACATCCCTCCTGTTGCATTAGCTCCACTGGCTGCCAGTCTGCTGCTGAGCACAATTCAAAGTGCTGGCTTTAGCCTATAAAGCACTAAATGGTTCCAGCCCAGCTTACCTATCCGAACGTATCTCCCCCTGTGAACCACCTGGGAGATTAAGATTGAGGAGGCTCTGCTCTCAGTCCTGCCTTCTTCACAGGCACAACTGGTTGGGACGAGAGACAGGGCCTTCTCGACTGTGGAACTCCCTCCCCAATAAAATCAGAACAGCCCCCTCCCTCTTGGCTTTCAGAAAGAAAGTGAAAATGTGGCTTTGGGATCAAGCCTTTGGAGAATAGTTACAGCAATAATACATATGGAACATGTGCATAACTACTGGACTACAATTATGGATTGCATGATTTTTAATAATGAATGTAATGTTTTTAAAATGTTTAATATGTGTTAATTTTAATTTCATGTTCATAGAAATTGTATGTTGTTTTAAGGCATTGAATAATTGCCCATACGAAAGCCGCCTTTGGGGTTGAGAAAGGCGGTGTATAAATAGGGTAAATAAATAAATAAAAGAAGATAGGAAAATCAAGACAGACAGAAGGTACAATCTATTAGGGAGTTCTCTTCTGCAAGACTATTGAATTAACCCCCAAAAGTTGTTAGTTTCTTCTTGTATAGCTTCCAATCATATGCACAGCGTGGTGGTTCTCAACCAGATGTTTTGGCCTTCAACTCCCAGAAATTCTAACAGATGGTAAACTGGCTGGGATTTCTGGGAGTTGTAGGCCAAAACACCTGGGGACCCACAGGTTGAGAACCACTGGCATAGGGTATCATGGGTGCACATCCTTAAGGCAAGGACAAGCAAATTGTGGCCATTCAGATGTTGTTAAGCTACAACTCCCATCAGCTGCCTTGGGTCTCCTGCTGGGATATAAAATCAATCCATCAACCATGTAGAGCTAGCGTAGCCTAAAGTGAGGAATGCTGAGAGCTGCAGTCCAGGAATATCTGGAGGGCTATTCTTTGTCCATCTCTGTTTTATGGGGAATGTTGTGGCTCTGTTTCAGGATCAATTGGAGAATAAAGCCATGTTTCTGCTGGAAGTTTTCCAAGGAGCAGGCAGCACTTGCAAAGGCGTCATCAGCCAGAATATCCTTCCCTTTGGGCTGATAGTGCTTTTGTGGGTGTGTGCTTCTAGAAAAGAGCAGAAAGTAGGTGATGGAAAGGATTAGTATTACACATTCACTTCAGATGTGATCACAACCCCAGCAGGTTGTGACACATTCCGTCACATCTCTAAAAATAAGTGTAAAAGATACCATTCATGCCAATTTGGCAGTCAGACAACTAATGTATGAATAACTTGTTTGACAGCGAGGAGCATGGAACAATGGATTACAATGTGCTACTGAAAATAGCATCTCGGCAAGCATTGCAGGGAACACACCTAAGTTCAAAAATCTGATGAATCCAGGTGAATCTGGGGTTAAAATTGATTTTTAGCAAGACAGAGGTGAGAGCACACTCCTATATTCACTCAGTGAAAACACTCAGCTGGGTGAGAAGCTTCTTGTTTTTGGCAGAGCCATTCCACCTTTGATAGGCTTTGGCTTAACCCATCCCAATGAAGGGATGCACCAAAAATAATCCAGAGCTATCAAATGGCACTATAATGATGAACCCGAACCATACTATTTTGTTACTGGTTGGCTTTGTTAACAACTTGCACAGAAGACACTTTGAGGATTAATGGCCCACCATAAAATGCAAAGAGAAATGCACAGGTGTGTAAACAAACACATGCAGCAACATAGAAATAATATGATTTTCACTAAAACGATTTTATTTTGCTTGTCAGTGGACATACAGTAGAACTGATATTCCTGCTGTAGGAGGAATGTGGATACCACATGCTATTTCTCATATTCATATAGGAAAAAAATAATTGATTTTTGGGGAAAGTTTTAATTCAAGAGAACCTTTTAAATCAGAGTTTTAAGTTAAATCATACACACACACAGAGGCTGAGTATCCTTTGTCCAGAATTATGAAAACCAAACTACTCCAATACTACAAAGGTAATTGACAGAGGATAATCTGAGATAATGACACCTTTGCTTTCTGATACTTCAGTGCATGCAAACTTTGTTTCATGCACAAAACTATTAAAATATTGTGTGTAAAGGTCGGTAGAGCTCTGACAGCTAGATCAGTTGTCAGAATTTAAGACACAAGTGAAGACCTATCTCTTCCGGCAGGCCTCCCCATACAGTTGTAATGACGAATTTTAAACATCCACTCAATGTTATTTTGTGGATTTTAATATGTATTTTATGGAATTATGTTTTAATATGTGTATTCTATAGAATGTTTCAAATGATTATGTGTTTTGACTGTGTTTTAGCAATTTTGTAACTCGCCTCAAGCCGTGAGGTGGGTAAGAAATAATAATAATAATAATAATAATAATAATAATAATAATAATATGTATATGGCATATATGAAACATGAATAAATTTCATGTTAATATGTTGGTCCCTTCACCAGGATACTCCATTATATATATGCAATATTCTGAAACAAAAAATCCAAAATACATAATAATAATAATAATAATAATAATAAAACTTTATTTAAACCTTGCCACCATCTCCTGTAGGGACTCAGGGCAGCTCACAAGCACTTGAGGTGCAAATATGCAAAATACAAAAGCGGAAAGACAGTAACACAAAACAATACCAACAAATATAAACATCATAAGACCCTCTGGTCAAGATCAGTAAAATGCAACAATCCTGGTCTCAAGCATTTATCAACAAACTCGCTTTGAGTCCCCCCCAGGGGTGAGAAAGGCGGTATATAAATACTGCAAATAAATAAATAAATAAATAAATAGTCCTCATTTAATTTCAAAGAATGAGACTGTGTTACTCTCACCTGAATGCCTTTAAATGAAGATAGGAAAAGAGGTGGGTCAGGATATGGTAGATTGTACTACCTTCAGTTGTCTATGGACCAGGCTAGAATCCCAGACAAAGCTCTTGGGTAGAGCTATTGCACCCACTATTTTAATGGGATCAATATTTGGCCTGCCCACCCTACCTTTTCCTTAAAAAGTGACTTCTCTTTCAACTTCCACGGTCTTGACACAGAGAGGAGGATGGAAGTCTATCATACTGCCAACAGTTTTGTTTTAGGAAGCTGTGGAAATTATGAGTGTTTGGTTTACCCCATCTCTTCTCCACATGGGAAGAACAAGTGAGTGAAATGATAGGGATTTTGCAAGTTTTTTTAGTGCTGAGCAGGGATCTTACGTGTACTTGTTTGGTGGGTCCAATTAGATGGATGAGCTGGAGGTTCTCCTCTCAGCTATCATTAAAAAATAATAAGTTTTATTCAAACCATGTATTGTATACAAACCAG